AGAGGTAAATGGATTTTTTTTGCCATGTAATAACAAATGTAGAGAACTCTGGGGCTAAATCACTTCTTTTCTTGTGAAAAAGTGATATTGTTGAAGTGAACATTTCTCCCTTTCCCTCTGTTTGTGCTATCCTCAGTAGGTCTTAGGCAGTCAGCTATGTTCAGTTTCTCAAGTCTAACCCTGTACAAAACCTGGTCGTTCTAAGGAGTCACCATTTGGGAGAATTACATTGGAAACATATTGATAGAAAGGGAACCTGCACTGTTTGCCCTTCAGCAACCTCATTCTTTGCAGCTGTCTTGAACCTACTAGTGGACACAGTTTTTGAGTGGCCTACCTCTTGTCTCCTTCACGCTTAAAGAGGCCGCGCCTGCTGCCGTGTGGTGAACAGCACAGGCAGTGCTCTTGCCCCTGAGAAGATAGGTGTGAAGAGTTGTAGTGATAGTGGTGGCCTGGGATCCCTCACACTGGCTACCTCATGGGAAACCAAAGGGACTGTCTTCCTGTGAAATGCAGGGCTATTAGCATAAGCATAAGTCTGCCCCCTCAGCAGCCAATGAAACAGCACCCAAGGCTCAGTGAAAGATGCCAAAGCTCCCCCTTTAGAGACCCCAGGATTTGCTTCTGGCCTGCCCAGAAGGTGAGGCCTTGGAGAAAGAGGGAAGGGCCAGGAGATTGAGCCCGAGGCAAATCGTGGACTAGCCAGTTCCATCCATTTTTGAAAAAGTGGGAGGGCCATGGCCCTTTGGCCCCTTCTATCCTGCACTTGGTAAGAGGCACTGTTGTCCAGGGGGTGTGGACTTCCAGGCATGCTAGATTCTGTGCTGAGACTGATTCCTGCTCTGTCGTCATGGGAACATGATACCATCAGGATACTGAGGAGCAACAGGCAAGATGCAAAATACATAGAGATGTAGCATGGTTAAGAGCGCAAATTACTGAGTAACTGAAGTACCAATCAGTATCCGAAAGAGTCTCAGAAAAAAAATGAGAACTTTGTTAAAGTCAAGAAATACAGAAAACAAGAATTATTCTAGCTTCTGTTGATCATTCTAAAGCATAGAAAACCGTATTTAGAAGCAATTGTCTCTTCTTGTCTCCATATTTCTTTGTTTTATCTCATATATGACTTAGGAGAAAAGCAGGAGCAGGAGCAGCTGATTATGTTGAATGTATCATAGGTTTATATGCATCCAATAACTGAGGCTATGTCTACACTGCACATCAATTTTGAAATAAGCTATTCTGGAATAGTTATTCTGAAATAATTTATTTCAAAATAGCATATCTACACTGCAGGGCAGGCTCAAAATTAGTCAGAGGCAAGCTTCCCTAATGTGACGTGTTATCTCGATTTAGAGCCCCAAGAGGCACCGGGGAGGAATATCATAGAATGGCACTGGTATGGGGCTATTTCAAAATAGCAGCAGTGGAGTATCTACACACTCTTTATTCCAAAATAGCTATTTTGGAATAGGCATTATTCTTTGTAGAATGAGGTTTACAGATTTTGGAATAAGCTGCCCGTTATTTCAAAATAACGCAATGGCCGTGTAGATGCTCGCATAGTTATTTCAGAATAATGGCCGTTATTCTAAAATAACTTTGCTGTGTAGCAATATCCTAAGAGAAGTAGAGGACTGGGGTATTTGTTTGTAGAATATAGGTGACAACATTTTTGAATATGTGGAACTATGAAGTCTGCTTTCTTCAATGTATAAATTAAATTTAGTAATCCGTCTTTATCTTTTAAATAATAAGCAGCCTAACTAGCTGCTTTGCTTTTCTGAAAGTGTGAGTGATAGAATTCAGTAATTAGGAAATCCTTTTTTGAAAATCCGTGACATTCGTAAGGGCTTTCTGGAGTGGCTGAGGGAGGAACTAAGCTCTTGAGAGGGACAAAAGAGTATTTCAGGCACTTACAAGAATCTAAATCTGATATTTAAGAATATTTCCTGTCTTGTCTTCAGTATTTAGACTGCCTTTGGGCCCAGATTCAGAAGTTGAAAAAAGATCGCTGGCAGGAAAGACACATTTTGAGGCCCTATCTTGCCTTTGACAGTATTCTCTGTGAAGCACTGCAGCACAATCTGCCTCCTTTTACTCCACCACCTCACACTGAAGATTCAATTTATCCTATGCCAAGAGTTATCTTCAGAATGTTTGACTACACAGATGATCCTGAGGTATGTGATCTTCAGGAGGGGCAGGAAAGGGAGGGTTTTGCATACTGACATCTGAATCCACAGCAGGGGTCACAAAGCTGGGGGAAGCACAGGACGGTTCTGGATTCTTAACATGTGCACGTACTTATAATGTATGTCGTAATGTATGTGCCTTTGGCTACCTTCACCTGGTCTTAGCTCACAAATCCTCTTTCTCACTGAGATGATCTCTGATGTTCCAAACCCCCCAATCAGCTTCAGACAGCTGTGGGTGGGTTTTCTTTAACAGAGTCTGCCAGAGAAACCTTTCCCCAAATATAGCATGTTCTTTTCTCCCTCCACCAGAATTACTTATGTGGTCCCAAAGAATCCATGTTCTGCCCTAGACCATTCTTCACTTTTTATGAAAACAGGTCACAGCATTCAAGTTTCTTGTGGCATTACCTGGCTGAGCTAAAAGCTGGATGCTTATACTGTTGAAAATGAGAGGGGGTCCACTTCTGATGAGACCCAGTGCATGAAATAACTGACTTTGAACTGTGGCACTTTTATCTGTAGAAAAGTTATTGGATCACCTGCAGATCCCTGTAAGCTTGACAGACAGATACATAAAAAACGTCCATGAAGCTTTTAGATTTTATAGTTATTTTGTAGTATGTGATATGCACATTACATGATACCTCAGTTCAAATGTTGTCTTACTCTTATTGGTTCTTGTTTGGGATCGTTGGCCTAGCTTGTTGCTTGAGTAGTTTGTGAGTAGTGTGGTGATGCCAGGCTCATGTCAATATCACCATATGCCATGCCATTCTAGATGGTGCTTGGTCCTGCCATGGGGGCAGGGGACTGGATTTGATGATCTCTCAAGTCCCTTCCAGTTCTAGTGTTCTATGATTCTATGCCATCATGTATTTGGTGTGTAAAAACTTTTTTAAAACTGCTAAATTTTAACTTCTTGTACATTTTAAAACTGCTAAATTTTAACTCTCGTACATTTCAAAGGGCACTTCCGCCTTTGAAATGCAGCAACAGCCAGACCTGCTCTTGCTACATTTCAGAGCAGAAGCGCCCTTATCAACTAATCAAATAGTCGATGGAAATTCCTTCGACTTTTGGACTAGTTGATTAATCTAATTTTAACATCCCTAGGCCTTTATGTGTGGAGTCATTTTTATGAATTGAAGCCATTTTGTGTAATGTTCAGAAGCAATTGGAATAAAGGTGGCGTGTGTGGCAGTGGGAAATATGCTAGGATGAAATTGTATAGAATTGCTGAATATGTCCTTGGAAGGTTAGGTTAAAAACATTGAGTGGTGAAAATGACTAATAAGTGTCCAAAACAGGTGCAGCTGAAATTGGAGGTGGATTTTAGAAATTTTAATATAACTGACCCAAGGTTTCATCTATAAATAAGACAACCTGATGTAAAAACCGAGATGTGAGTTCGAGTGCTTCTCTGTGATTTGTTTTAAATAAAAAGACATCATTAAAAATTACCCCTTTGTACTGTAGCAGTTGAAAACACTTTGAAGAAATAGATTGCTTAGAGGAAGTTTTTACATCTGACAGGAAACAGTGTGTTAATCCTTGTGAATAATTATCTCTAAAAAAAAACTATTCACTTGTAGCAGTGACTTTTCATAGATCTTAATTCTGTCTTAATAGGGTCCTGTTATGCCTGGCAGTCATTCCGTTGAGAGGTTTGTAATAGAAGAAAATCTTCATTGCATCATCAAATCCCACTGGAAAGAGAGAAAAACATGGTAAGTTTCTTTTACTGAGTAAATAAAGGGAAAGTGTTATGATACCACAATATCTGAATTTTTCCTTCCTGAATTTGTTTTCTCTCTCTTGTGCGTTGTGGCTTTCACTGGAGACTTTTAAAGTCCTGAAATGAATGTTGTCCAAAAACTGGAGATGAAGAAGTTAGGAAATTATATGCCTACGTTCCACTAAGATGTAGCTTTTCCAGAAAAGAGCCAATAGCCGTAGTAGACGGGCAGATTTGTATTTTGGTGGCAAGGCTTGCTTACATGATGACTTGTTTGGCTTTCTGATTCCACAGAAACTAGAGATCCAGTGGATCTCTACAAGAAAAGTGGAAAGGCTATCTAGAGGCGGTTGTAAATTAGTGCTGATGGACTAGGCTTAAAATAACTGAAGTGGTATTAATTTCCTTTGAGACAAATGCAGGACAATCTAGAGTTCATTAAATGATACTTCAAAAGTCAGAGGGCCTCTTGTATTTTCCATTAGCTTGTCCTATATTCAGATATCAGTGGGTAAAATAAGGGCCATAGGGAGGTTGCTGGTCAGGCACTTGCTAATGAGATATATGACTCTTCATTTTGAGTTATGAATCAAATACAGGCAAGGTAAGTGGCTGTCTGAGGGCTGCAGGTCTACACTATGGGAACAAGTTGATCTAAGCTATGCAATTTGGGTTATGTTAGTAGGGTAACCCAAGTCAATGTAGCTTACATCTACTTATTATGGGGTCCACATGGTGCTGGATCAGTGGGAGAAACTCTCCAGTCAACTCCCCTTATTCATCTCATTCTTGTGGGGAGATGATGTCTGAATGATCAGTGGTCGATTTAACTGGTTTTCACTAGACTTGGTGGATTGATCACCACAGCACAGATCTAGCCCGTAGTGGAGACAAGTCTCGAGGTTATTGTCTGGCTGGCTTATAAGAACTAAGTTTGGTTTCAGTCCAGTTTTCAGTTGGGCAAACCACCTCAAAAGCTTATGTTCGATGGTGTCCTTGTTAGTAGCTTGAGTATTCAAGAATTGCATATGAATAGAAATGGAACGTCCTTTCAGGTTGTGGTTCAGTCATATGTTTGGTTAAGCTGGCACTGATGCTTGTATTGTGCCTGTTCTGTTCATAAATAGGTGGCTTCAGTCTTCAGGCCTGTCAATCTGCCATTCTTCATACAAAAAAAGAGCTATTCAGTAAATCATTTCTTGGTATCTAGACTGTATCTCTAATGTGTTACATTCTAACTCGTATGTACGTATTTCTTTGCAGTGCTGCACAGCTACTGAGCTATCCAGGAAATAACAAAATCCCTTTGAACTATCACATAGTTGAGGTATGCATTTTACGCATAGCATCTTGTACACATACATAATACCTTTATTTTGTAAATAATAGACTTCAAACCATTGCTGTCCATGGCCCGAAGGCTAGGGTGTAGTTTCTCACTAACTTAAGTTTTAACAAGTGAATCAAGTTCTGTTACAAGTTGGGATTGGTCCTGCCTTGGCCAGGGGCTGGACTTGATGACCTCCTGAGGTCTCTTCTGGCTCTATGATTCTATTACAGTGGTGTTTCAAATAGAGGCATTTCTGAAGTTTTACCTGTTGAGTTTTCGTAGCTGGCCCGCGTACTTGTAGACCAATTAACTCTGAGATGGTCTTGCTCTGAAAATTTTTAGATCTGAAAATAAGCTTTATTTAAATGGCAACCCATACCTTTGTCGCTTACTAGTTATCTTGTGAGGTGCTTGCAGTACTGTATGTCATGTCACAGGAATTCTTTAGCTTTTAATTTGACGTCAATTTCTGGCTGTCTAGTGAGATTTCTTTTTCATAGTCACTTCTTATGGGGGAGAGATTTTTTTTAATAACTACAAATGTGAGCAGGAAGACAAATGGAGGTTCTCAGTTCCTCTGCTCAGAGAACTCTCAAAGGCTGATACAGCCATGTAGAACTTTATACATTAAACTGGCCATAAGGTTGAATATGGTGACTTGAATATTGACTGCAACCTCTTTTGCAAGGCCTTTTATCTGAGAAATTTCCCTTTTCAAAAAGTCATTTGAATAATAGAAATAATGTTAACCAACCAACAGAAAAGCAAAATGTCACTTATGCTTTGATACATATGTTCTGCCTCACTGATGAAGGTCTGGAGTGCTCCATTTTGCCTCAGAGTGCCAAACCATACCCAGTTATGCTAGGCGCTTAAAGGATTCATGGCCTGGACCCGAGGGTTTAGCTCACTTCATCCCATAAAGTTTTTGAAGCCAGGCTCAGAATTCTTCCTTCCTCATTATACCTAGCTACAGAGCACTTTGGCGTAGCCCCTTAGGCGAGAGGCTCCCGTCCTGCAGTTGGTCTCTGATGCACACACCATGTATCTATCACTCAGTGCCTTGATGCATTTGGTACCCTGTCAGCAGATGACACTCAAGTACATGGGTTAAGTGAAGGCCCGGTGTGCCTTACTGTGTGCTCAATGAGATGTTGGTGCAGCGGAGTCAACCATCCAACTTAGTAAAAGGTCACCAGTGCCCTGCTCCTCCTGTAGATCCTTGGGGACTGATGGCCCTTAAAAAGCAGGGTATGCCAATCTGAAGTTCCCATTTTAGCATTAAGTGACCTTTAGCGAAGTTATGAAGTTAAGCCCCCAGGCTCATTTTTGTGAAGGTGTTGTGTAAGATTTCTTTGAGGATGAAGACTGAGAGGTGTGATAGAAAGAGAGGGTTTTTTTTGTATTAAAAATATTTACTGAATGAGATGTGGCATTTTTGGGTTGTTGTTTTGTCTGACTTCCTTTGTGACCTTAGTGATTTTGTTTCACTCTTGCTGGGGAATTAAGGTTCTCTAGGCATTCTTAATTTGGAGAATAACTTAGTTTAAAAAACAGATAATTTTACAAGACTCTTATTTAGAAGCTAATAGGGCAGGGGATGTGGCCCCTGGGTTGCCTGGATCTGGCCCCCGAGGCTTAGGGCTTCCCCCAGTATTGGGGAGTCCATGCTGGAACTCTAGTTGTTGTCGTCCCCCCCCCCTCCCAGCTTCAGGCCCCCAACTGATTTTTCTTTGGGTCAGTGGTTCCCCACCCCTGCAATAGGGGGTCAACCTGAAGATGTCTCTAAAATTCAAACTAGGGATATTAAATAGGGATATTAGTAAGCTAATGGAGTTGTCAATAGAATTTCCATCAACTGTTCAATTAGTCGATAAGGGGGACATCTTCTGGGAGGGTTGCGAGTCGGGACAGAACAGTCCCAACTAGCGCTGACTCCAGGACCACTGCGGCTCTGCTTTTTAAAGGTAGTAAGAGCCGCCAGTAAGAGCCATAACGGAGGACCCAGTGCAAGCTGGGACTTAGCTGTCCCAGCTCATGCCCAGTCCCAGACGGCTGTGGCTCTGCTTTTTAAAGCAGAGGCACAGTGTCTGGGATCCAGTGCGAACTGGGACAGCTAATTCCTGGCTTGCGCCAGGTCCCCCACTGCAGCTGTGCCTTTTAAATGCAGTAAGAATCTGGTGGTTCTTACTACATTTAAAAAACAGAGCTGCAGCAGTCCCGCAGCCAGTGCATGCTGGGTCCCCTGCTGTGTCTCTGCCTTCCCTGCCCCCCTTCCCCTGTAAAGACCATTTAAGCCAGCTCCCCCAGCATTGGTTCCTGCTCCCTCCCCCTGCCTTGTTGGCTCTATTGTAAGTTGGGGGAGCGAGTAGCTGAGTAGTGACTCAATTGGTCGCTTGTATCCCTAATTCAAACCAATTCAGAAGATTGTACTGTAAGATGCTGTAGAGGTGTTGAGTGAGTGGAAGGGTGGCATTTAAGGTGGTGGGTTTTTAATTGTCTCATTGTATTATGAAACTTCAGCCTGATAAATACCGTGGGCTCTTGTCCCAAATGGATCTTGCAGTAGTTATTATTGCAAAAACTTTTATAGGGAACATCTTATAGTCCTCATAGCAAGAGTCAGAATTGTGCAGACTTGGACATGATGGTGGAAAGCTTTGCATGTGTCAAGACTGAGCTTGGTAACATGCTTTTTTTTTTTTTTTTTTTTCCTGGTATTTGCAGAACTGTTTCAGCTTCCAGTTCCACCACACATTGAGGTCATGTACACAACACTTCTGATTGAACTGTGCAAACTTCAGCCTGGCTCTTTGCCACAAGTTGTATCCTTTCCTTGTTGTTAAGGAGACCTCTAGCTTTGAATGCTTTTCCTTTGTTCTCTGGAAAACTAAGTGTTAACATAAATTTTAGCAGTGACTGTATTTACAATTGAATAAAACAAACTAATACTTTATCCATTAATATTGCATATGTGAAAACAAATGCAGACAAATATTCATTGTTCTGTTACCCTAGTTTTTAGTGCCAAAGTGATGGGGGGGGGGATCTCCAGTGTTTTAAACAGTAATTTTAAAAATAATTCCCAAATGGCAGACTAGAGAGGACTGTAATTATGATGTATAATTGATTTATAATGTGGGAAACAGATTGTAAGTGAACTTGGCATATTTACTTCAACAGAGCATGTTAGTTTCTCAGTTATGTCTCTGCTTACTAACTATTTGTTAATATCAGGGTCTAAAATTAATTTACAAAGAGCAGCAGCATTTCTGTCAGTTGTACTACTAGAAAGTGAATGGAGGTTCTAAAGCTTGTTAATGTTGAGATCACTTCCTGATCAACAGCAAAATGGATGTTGTGTTAATAAATGAACACAAAAAGGTAAATTGTTACACTGTACAGGCAGTCCCCGGGTTACGTACAAGATAGGGACTGTAGGTTTGCTCTTAAGTTGAATCTGTATGTAAGTCGGCACTGGCGTCCAGATTCAGCCGCTGCTGAAACTGACCAGCGGCTGACTACAGGAAGCCCGAGGCAG